TGGGAGGGGATGGAGGGGATGGAGGAGCCTCTCCATGTCTGGCCATGGGAGGGGATGGAGGAGCGGCTCCGTGTCCGGCTGTGGAAGGGGATGGAGGGGATGGAGGGGACGGAGGAGTGCCTCTGTGCTGGGCTGTGGGAGGGAATGGAGGGGATGGAGCAGCATCTCCGTGTCCGGCCGTGGGAGGGGATGGAGCAGCATCTCCGTGTCCGGCCGTGGGAGGGGATGGAGCAGCAGCTCCGTGTCCGGCTGTGGAAGGGGATGCAGCAGCATCTCCGTGTCCGGCCGTGGGAGGGAGCGGGAGGGTGCGTTTTCCTCCGCCTGGAGCCGCGCCGCAGCAGCTCTGCCTTCAAAGACAGCTCTGCCTCAGACGCAGCGAGGGCAGAGGGACCGGCATCAAAGCAGCCAATTAGTTTTGAAGTCGGGCTCAGCCCTGGCGCTGCTCAGGCGAGAAGGACTCGGGGTTGGAGCGGGAGGAATGCGCTGCCACGGCTTTGCTTATTAAGCTGACTTTAAAGTCTCTCCATTCCCTCTCTTCCCACGAAGAGTAAACCTGTGTGCCTCAAACCCGGCGTAGGGATGGCTCTGTCCCCCGGTGAACGCACAGAGCCCAGCCTGTCACCTGCTGCATGACTAAACCCAGAGAGAATTGGGTCTTTAGCTCCTAAATATCTCCAAAAAGCCAGCTCCTACCTTCTTGATCTTGCAAGGAGGAGTTTGACAACTCCCYCCTCTGCAGGAACCTGAAGCACACAAAAACCTCTTTAAGACAGAACGGCATCAACATTTCTGATGTAAATTAAAAGCAAAGACAGTGAAGAGAGAGGTTTTTAATAAGAGCTATTAATAAGAGCTTTGCAGGCTGTGCAGCTCGGTGCCTTCAGCAGTCTGAGGCGTCAATTAATGGCCTTATAAAACACAGCCTGGTGTGTGTTCCCGAGTCTGTGAAAAAGCAGGGAACAATAGGGAATATTTGAGCTGTTCTGCCTCTAAATCCGGTGTTCGTTTCCCCTGGTGTGCAGCGAAGCTCGTGTAGATGGCTTCCTGGGAGGTTTGTCTGTGAGGAATTCACGGATATTGGTCTTCTCCACATGTGTAACTGTCAGAGTGTTGCTGATCTCTGGCAGTGGCTTGTGCCAGCAATGAGCTGTTCCAGAAGTATCCATGTGTGAGTGTCAGGCTCGGGACAGGGGCTGGGGCTCAGGCCAGTGAAGGCTGGCAGCRTTTCCTGGGTGCTGGAGGGGAGCAGGGGATGCTGCCTCACATCAGAACAAGATCCCTCTGGCCACAAGCTCGCCCCTTGCTCTGGGCTGGCAGCATGTGTGAGATCAGCCCTGTGCTCCATCAACTGTCTGCTCTTGGTGAAAAATCATGGAATCATTTATGTTGGAATAGACCTACAGGATTATCAAGTCCAACCATTAACCCAGCTCTGCCAATATAACCATGCCAAGGAGATATGGAGGTGCTGGGTTGGGTGTCAGAGCAGGCTAAGAGGGAGCAGACTGTTGGGAGTGGGTGGCAATTCGCTGATGGGTTTGTTTGAGGGAATGTTCCCCTTCCCTGCAGCACACAGCACATGCACCATGGCTCACACTGTGTCCAACTGGTGTTGAGCCCCTCCCCACTGCCTTTGCAGATGATCAGGTCACTGAAGAAGGCCATGGCGCCMGTCCTGAGTGATGTGTCCGTGGAGTGGGTCTTTCCTGAGAGCACTGAGGTCCTGGTGTCCCCTGTCAGCAGCAGCTGCCTGTTCCCTGGTGACCGCCTGCTCAGCTACAGTGTCATCTGCGACACCTCCCCGTACCTCTCCAACCCCAGATCTGTGAGTCCGTGGGGCTGTCCCGATGGTGGGGGTGGTGGGGGGTGTACACAGCTCTGTGTGTGGTCAGGAGGTGTCTCCTGCTTCCCAGCTCTGTTCTTAAGGGAGCTGCTGGGTGGGAGTTTGGGGGGAGTCGTGGCTGAGGATGCTGATGCAGCCTGTCTCGGCTGAGAGCCGCTGCACAGGCACGGTGGTGGGAGCTGTTCCCTCTCTGTGCTTCCCCCCAGGACAAGAGGCGGCGGTACAGCATGATGCATTCCCAGGAGTCGGGCAGCTCTGTTTTCTTTCACTCCCAGGAGGAGGGAGCAGGCTTGGAGAGCTGGAACCACTCCAGAGACTCGGAGGGCTCCTGCCCTGCTGAGCGCTCCCCYGAGCGCCTGGGCGTGGGCAGAGACCCCGGGGGAGAGTCGGACACGGACACGGGTCAGAGTTTGCTCTGTACATGCGGGAGGGTGATGCCCCTGTCTCTCAAATCAAGCTCCTGTCACTGCTCCCCCAGTTTTTTTGCCTGATAAATATCTGCAAAGAGCTGGAGAAGTTTGCAGGASAGATGACAGATCTCCTGAGGCCTGAGCAAGTCTGTTTGGCTTGGAAGTTTTATCCAAACCTGTCAGGAAATCAAGGGAAGCCCTGGCRAGCTGGGTTCCCTGGAGATTTTCAAAGCAGTTTTAGCTTTGGACGCATAATTATTTACAAGCTTCCCAAGCAGTGTGAGGAGGAGTGGAGTGAGCTCTGCTAGACCATCCCTGCACCTACAAAGCAGCTTCCCAGTCAGGAGAGGGGGGGAATGGTTCCAAAGCCCTGTTCCCAGGGTGTCACTCCTTCCCAAAGCCCTGTCCCCAGGGTGTCACTGCCCCCACCATGGCTGGGGTGGCTGTTTGTGTCAGCAGCATGTGGAACAAAGCAGTTGTTTGCACCCTGGAGCTGGGGAAACCTCTGTTACTCATGGGATGTTCTTCCCTTTCATTCCAAGAGGAGCTGTGCTGTGCATCCCCTCAAACTTGTCAAAAGCAATGAGAAATCGTGTCTTTCCAAGGCAAATTTTTGTCTTGCTCTGACAGGAGCGTGTCTGCACTAATTAAATTTCATTAGTAAACCCTTTGTCTTCTCCAGGGAGGTTTGGGGAAATGCAGTCAGGCTTTTTTTGGCTTGAAAACTCCTCAGACAAAACCTTCCCAACCTGCTCTCTTGACATCCCCAGGAATTTTGAGCGTTCCTGTTTCCTTTTGTGGTTTCATTGCTTTGCTTAAAACTTTGCAGGGCTGAGCATGGCGCGCTGAGCTTTGGCAGGACCCTGGGGAGGGCTCCCTGCCTCTCATCATGACCAAGGGGGGTGGTACTGGTTGATCCCATGCAGAGTGGAGCTGATCCTCTCTTGACCCTTCAGGGATGGACGTGAGGGCTCCCTCCAGGAGACGGGCATACAGCACCACCCARATCTCTGACCGTGAGCCTCGCAGGAAGGTGCCCACAGCCAGCGACCCCGGCACGACCCTGGTGAAAAACCCCCTCAGGAAAACTCAGCTGCAGGACCTGCAGCAGCTCAGCCCCGAGCCCTGGCAGATGGATTTCCAGGTAGGTGATCCCCTGAGAGGCTTTGCCTGCAGGTGGAAGCCAGCAAGGAGAAGCAGGAAAATAGCAGGAGCCTGAGGGAAAGGGCCTGACTCACACCAGTCCTGAAATATTGATAGAGATAAGAGATATGGATAATAAATATAGATGATAGATGTGGTTCTGCAGCACATCACAAACACTGGGGAAACAAGCCAAGCAAGGAGCAGAGTGCCATCCTGATATCCCACAGCAGTCCCTCCCCATGGGGACCTGCTTTTTCCCTGCTCCCCTTCCCCTGAGTGCCTCACCTTGCTGCTGTTCTGGTCCTTCTTATCTCCCCACAATTTCAGATTCAAACTCTCCCCATGGCTGAGGCACTTCTGTGCCCGACAGAGAAAGGGAGTTCAGTGCCAAAGCAGGTTCCCAGCTGGATCCACAGCCTCATACAGGATTGGGATGAGACATGAACCTGTGTGATGACACAGCTGCTGAACAGGGTTCTGTCCCATGCCTGCAGCAGGCAGAATTTGGGCAGATTATTCAATTGATCTATGGGAATGACAGGGGTGGTTTTCTCCCACCCTTGGCATTGCTGGGATGCTCTGCTCTGCAATCAGCATCTGCAGGGCTGGGAGGACCAGCAGCACTTGTGTTCCCATGGAAACTGGGAGCGGGATATCAGGGACTTTCATTTCCCCTCTGCTGTGGGTTAGAGATCGCTGGGTGAGGGGTGGGAGGGGAGATGAGGGGGCAAAGGGRAAGCAGGGCTGGGGCTCCAGAGGATGAGACCTCTGCCCTCAGGCTGCAGCAGGAGGGTGGTGAGCAATGTCAGTGACCAAGAGCAAGCTGGTTTTAGGGGCACTGGTGACATCCCCTGTATTGGGAAGGTCCCCAGAGCATCCTGCTGCCCTCAGCRTCTAGGCAGGGGTGGAAATGACTCCCTCCTGGAGGGCAGTAAATGGTTAACAGCATGCATCCTGCTTTTAATTGCATGCAGCCTGGTTTTGCTATCCCTCCTGCTGCCYGGGCTCCCAGCAGCTCTCCCAGCTCCCAGTTCTGCCACCAGGGCTTGACATTTTCGGGGGTGTGAAGCCGAGCCCTCAGCTCATCTCCACGCATGCCGTGCTGGGAAGGAAAGGTCAGCACCAGCCATGGGCAGCTTAAACCCCCAGTTCCATTGTCAGCTGGCTTCCTCTGGCTAGGAGGAGAGCTCAGGCAGGAGCAGGAGCAGCTTTGGAGTGGAAAGGGTCTGGCAGGATATGTCAATATTAGCTTGGTAAATAGCTCCTGGAACTGCCCAGCTCCCAGTTTTGCTGSTGGTCTCACAGAACATTGAAAATTAGGTGGTGTGGAGGTCATCCCCTTGTCTGTCACCCAGAGAAAGTATCCTTCTACCACCTCTGCTCCTTGCTGGTGTTGTATAGCAATCTAGAGTCTGTCTGTTTGGATGGACCTTCCCAGAGCCCTGGGGACAGGGATGAAACCCAGACCTTGCAGAGGGGAAAATCCATGTGGGATGTGACACCAGAGGTGCTGGAGTGGGGGATTCATGTCTCCTGAAAGTGGTGGAACAGCCTCATTAAAAAAAAAAAAAAAAAAAAAAGATAAAAATTCCTTTCTCCCATCCCCTGCGCCTCTCTCCTTTCGTTACTAAGCAACTGGTCCTTGATCTTTCTGTCTCTCTTCTTTTCTTTGGTTCCCAAGTGAAGTCATTAAAATGTCTGGAGGGATGAAACTCATATTTCACCTTCTGCATGTCTGGGGAAGGAGCCCAGGGGGCCAGGGTCCCTTGGGGACACCCCGAGATCTGGTGGAGGGCTTTGTCTGGGCACGGATCCCAGCCGGGATGGACAGAGAGGGAAAGACCTGTGTGATTGCATCCCGCGCTGGGGTCGGGCAGGGAGCAGGCGGGATCACAGGGGACACAGCAGGTCCGTGCAGATGGATCACAGGGGACAGAGCAGATCTGAGCATGAAACAGAGGGAACAGATGGAACAGAACAGGTCCGTGCAGACAGATCAGAGGGGACAGAACAGGTCCGTGCAGACGGGACAGAGGGAACAGAGCAAGTTCGGGCCCGGAGCAGACAGGATCACAGGGGACAGAGCAGGTCTGAGCATGAAACAGATGGGATCAGAGGGGACAGAACAGGTCCGTGCAGATGGGACAGAGGGGACAGAACAGGTCTGAGCAGACGGATCAGAGGGGACAGAACAGGTCCGTGCAGATGGGACAGAGCAGGTCCGTGTAGACGGGACAGAGGGGACAGAGCAGGTCTGTGCAGACGGGACAGAGGGGACAGAACAGGTCTGAGCAGATGGGACAGAGGGGACAGAACAGGTCCGTGCAGACAGATCAGAGAGGACAGAACAGGTCCGTGCAGACGGATCAGAAGGCACATAGCAGATCTGTGCCATTGGCCGCAGCCGATCCAGCCCTGACCCCCGCTCTGCTCGCAGCCCCTCCCGGCCGCCAGGATCCGCGGAGCCGGTGCCCGGCGCCCGGCCCTGCTCCAGCGCAGCTGCGTGTCCTTCTGCCACGACCCCAACGCCGCGGCGCTGCCGGACGGGCTGCAGGRAGCCCCGGCCAGGGGAATGGAAGCCCTCGATGCCATCCCGAGCCTGCGCTCCTCGTCGGACAGCCGGAGCCCCGGGGATCTGGGTAACCGGGGGAGGGGGAGGCACAGCCAGCCTCGCCTGTCCGTGCTGGGGCTTGGTGGCATTGTGTCGCTCTCCGTGCCACCACGTGGAAATCGGGAAGGATTAATTATGGTTTGGTGGTGGCAGTGGGGAATTCAGCTCCCGGGGAGGTGATTAATGATCTGCCTCTCCCTTTCTGCAGAGTCTGCCCAGCATCCATCCCTCACCTTTGAGACGGAGACCTCCTCTGACTGGGAGCCCCAGGACGCTGATGCCAGCGCTGCCTGCGGCTCCCCACGCTCCCCCAGGACCCTGTGCAAGGCCGTGGTGAAGGGGCTGAGGAACAACGAGCCTGTGCAGTGGGAAGTCACCTTTGATATCRGCCCTCTGTTCCGGGAGCGGGAGAGCCGGGAGGACGGTGACGCAGACCTTTGGAGTGAGACCTTCCACCACCTGGCAGCCAAGTCACTCATCCAGGACTTGGAGCAGCTCGCTGAGAGGGAGTGTGAAATCGAGCATGGTAATGTGCAGCTGGCTGCAGGCAGATCCTGCCTGGCCTCGGGAAGCCTTTCCAGCCGCCTCAGCAGCCTCTGGAGGGAAAACAAGAGCTGCTGGTGGTGAAATGTTAGGGAATGTGTCACAAAGCTCCCAAATAACAGCCCCCTTCAGCTGCCTTGTGCTCTTCTGCAGCCTCACTGCACACAAACATTCCCGATCTCGTGTTCCTTCCCACTCCTCAGGAGCAGGAATTGGAACTGATGATCCTTGAGGGCCCTTTCTGACTCAGTATGTTCCGTGATTCCATGATTCCTCTGCTTCACGCATCACGTACCATGGTTATTTTGAAGGAGTTGGTCACCTGAAGCTGGGAGCGGCAGTCACATCCCTGCCCTGGGCCACTCATCCCTGGGCTGTGCTCTCCTCCACAAAGGGCATCTGGGCTTGTGAAAGAGCAGAGGGAGCAGTGGGCAGAGTTTRGAGGGTGACAGGGATACAGGATGGACCCCCAGGCAGGGAGGTGGGTCTGGGAGCTGGGTACAAGCAGTGAGGGACCCCACAGACTCTGAGCCCTGTGTCCCTCCCTTGGCAGGGTCTGGGCGGCGGTTCCAGCTCAGCGCTGTCCACACCAGCAAGGCCTGCAATGTCATCAGCAAGTACACAGCCTTTGTGCCCGTGGAGCTGAGCACCAACTCCTACCTGCCCATCCTGGTCCAGTACACCCACACAGGTAACGTGGGCTGGCAGAGGGTGCAGCCTGGCATGGCAGGAGGGTGTCATTGTGAAACCTCTGGCAGGGTGAACCTGGTGAAGCCACAGCCCAGTTGGGCGCCAGACCTATACCCAAGGGCATGGCCAAGCTCTTGGTGGCAAAACCTCTTCCCATGGCCAGGGTAAAGGTCTCCCCTGAGGTCTGGATGCCCAGAGATGACCATGGAATCACATAATGCTTTGGGTTGGAAGAGACCAGTGCCACTCCCTGCCATGGGCAGTGACACCTTCCACTGTCCCAGGGTGCTCCAAGCCCTGTCCAACCTGGGCACTGCCAGGGATCCAGGGGCAGCCACAGCTTCTCTGGGCACCCTGTGCCAGGGCCTCACCGCTCTCACAGGGAAGTTCTTTCCAAATTCCCATCCAAATCTCCTCTTTTCCAGTTTGAAGCCCTTCCCCCTTGTTCTGTCATTCCAGTTCCTGACCAAATTCATTCTGTTGTTTCATTGCCACTGTGYCTGTGCCAGTCCCACTCTAACACTGGCCATTCCCTTCTCTCGTGCCAAGGGGCAGCATCCAAGCAAGGCAACCAGAGGAAACAGAAGAGCCCAGGAAACAGAAGGCATCGTGGCTGTTCCCCTGGATGCCCTCAGCCAGTGTGTAGCCAGAATGGAGACTATGGATTTTCCAGCATGAGTAAGATTCCCTGGGGTTTTACCTCTTTCCTGGGGCCAGAGATCTCAATGGTTTGGGACATCTTCTCTGGGCTTTCTGAATTCTGCCTTCATCTTTGCATACACCAGACACGTGTCAGGCCAGGGCTTATCTCCTTCAATAAGGGAGAAGCTCCAATTTCCCCCCAAACCCTGAAATCGCAGGTCGTGCTGCTGACAGCACCAGGAAGCTAATTGGCAGCCGTGCCGTGGATAACACGAAGGATGAAACGGGTGTAATTAGAGGCAGGGGGGATGTGAGACACTCGCTTGTCACCAAATCCTCCACTAATGAAGACGAGTTGGATCGGACCTCGTCTGGCACTGTCAGAGCTGCAGCTGAATTCACAGAGCCCCGCAGAGGCTCATTAACCCCATCATGCCATGGGAGGAATGGTGCTGCTTTGGGCTGGGTGCTGATGTGGTTCCTTGGTTGCAGATGCTGAGGAGAGCATCCCCTCACCCTCCAGCACCCCRTCCTCCTCTGCCTGGGAGCGCTGCCGTGTCCCCGAAGGTAGGGAAAGAGCTGCTGGCACTTGGTGCAGCTGCATCGAGTTCGTGGTTGGTGCTTCTGCTGAGTCTTTGGGAATTTTATAAAAATTTATGATCTAAAATTAGGCTTGTGAGCACAGGGCCTGACTCATTCTAAGGTGCAAAGGACGAAGCCTGATGTGGCTGTTGGTATAAGTCTCCCACATATTCATTTTTAAGAAGTGTGGGAATTCTATTATCCATGTAGGAAAATTGAGATGAGGAGAGAGGAAGGGTTTTGCCAAAGATTCAGCAGCCAAACAAGGCACCCTGTGTCCCAGTACCTTGACTGCTCCTTTTTGCTCCCCTGCAGCACCTTGTTTTACCCCCAGCACTGTTTCTCCCCAGTGTTAGGAAAAATAATCCACAAACACCAGAGGTTTATGTCTGAAAARGAGACAGAGGAGTCCTGTAACTTTATTCGAATAAAGGGAGAGGCCACTGGACATTTCCATGGGGTCTCTCTCATTGCTCAAGGATGCAGCCTCCCTTTTATCCTAATTTCTCAACCGCATTTCCCTCTCTCTTTCCCCACAGGCTGAGGTACTTCAGAGGTACAGACTGCCCCAATCCTCTAATACAGACCCTCTTCTCATGTGCATCCCCCCGTTTGTATTCTTTGTGTCTCTGTCCTTTTTCTCTAAGTTCAGGGGTTTAGCACTACCTTGGGTCAGTGTGTCAATGGGTGGAATTCCTCTGGAAATTATGCTCCTCCCATTGCTCCCCTCACCTGTCAGTACCTGCCCTTATCCACCAGCAGACCCCAGAGTTTGTTTGTAAAGGCATCTCCCTCTCATTCCTTTCTCCAGGGCCGCTCCAGAGCCTGTCTGCTTCCTCTGCACAAGCCCAGAAATCCATCGAGAGGCTCTTTGCTGCCAGGTATGAGCCAGCCTGGCTTTGCTCTGACCTCAGCACGTGCCTTTCACCCGTGTGGGTCTGCCATGGACCCAGGGAGAGAGGAGGCACCGGGGACAGTGGCTGGAGCTGGCACCAAGCGTGGTGCCAATGTCTGGGGACCAGGGATGGTTTTGGTGGGAGGGAGGGTGGCAGGAGCAGTGCAGAGGTCACGGGCATCTTTTCATCCTCTCACAGGCTGACCCTCAGTAAAACCAGGCTGCTGGTTCGAGCTGCCAAAGGCTTCATGAGTAAATCTCCAAGCAGAGGGAGTGAAGCCAGCTCTGAGAGTGACAATGAGAGCATGGACTACCTGCCTCTGGTGAGCAGCTCCTTCCTGGGCCTTGTTGGGGTTGCGTGCTGACTGCAGGGGCACAGGAGGGGGATCCCCCCAGACCTTCCCCTTGCTGTCTCTGACACCCATGTCCAGTGAGCTGCTCAGAGATGAAGAGCTGTTCCATCCATCCATGCCTTTTTCCTSAGCTACCCCCAAGTGGCTGGTGTGTCAGAGCTTCCCTTTGTGCTCACCATCCCTTGCAGGTGTCCCTGCAGCTGGCCTGTGGTGCCTTTCTCCTAAATCCAGCCTTCTGCGATGCCATCAACATCCCCATGGAGAAGCTGAAGTGGACATCACCCTTTGCCTGCCACCGCCTGTCCCTCAGCCCCTCCGGCTCCTACAGCTGCAAGAAGAGCAGTCCCTCCACGGAGCACAGAAACCAGAGCTTCAGCCAGCAGCTGCTGGTGCCCAGYGGGCACGGGAAGGGTCCCAGCACCRCAGATGTTGCAGTCCTGGAGGACACGGGCCGCCCTCGGCACCTGTCGGGCAGTGCAGCCGAGAGCATCTCCAGAGCCCTGAGAGCCGAGCAGGACCTGTCCCCTCCGGCCATCACCATCCGCCGCTTCTCCTCCCCGGCCAAGGGCCAAGACAGCCCCGAGCTGCAGGCTGTGCTGCTGGACGTGGAGCTGCAGCAGCAGGCACAGCCCGMGGGGATGCTGTGGGCCACGGCCGTGGCGCTGGCCTGGCTGGAGCACAGCTCCGCTTCCTACTTCATCGAGTGGGAGCTGGTGGCTGCCAAAGCCAGCCGGTGGCTGAGTGGGCAGGACTTYCCGGAGGGATCCAGCCTGGCCACGGTGAAAGCAGCAGCTCAGCAGCTCTTCGTGCTGCTCCGGCACTGGGATGAAAACCTGGAGTTCAACCTGCTGTGCTACAACCCGGGCAGTGTGTAGAGARGAGGAGGAGGAGGAGGGWGGTTTGGGTGGATTAGTGAGGGCACAGGAGCAAGGATCCATCCTTAAGGAAATGCCTCCAAAGAGCTCCACTCCTCTGCTGCAGGGATGTGTGTGTTTATAGAGCAAACCCTGCAAACAGAGCAGTCTGGGCAAAATCCTGCACTCAGCAGTYGGGATTTTGGCCTGGGAGGGAACCTACCATTGCCTGCAGTTGTTGCTTTTTATTTTCAACTGGAGCAGCACTTCCAGCTACAGCAGTTCCCTCTGATCTTGGTTTCTTCTGATTCCCAGCCCAATTTCCAGAGCAGATCTTGTGGCCTGCTCCACTTGCCCTGTCCTTGCTTAGGTGCCTCTTTGCAGCCCTGAATCACTGSCAGGCCCCTGCTGCAGCCCCTCAGCCCCAAATCCCTGCTTTCCTGAGGCTCCTGCCTGCCTCCTGCCATCTCAGACAGCTTTCAGAGAAGGAAGAGCTCTGAACACGTGCTCGTCTCATGGATCAAAGGGAATCARGGCTGGGAGTGACCATGTGAAGAGCAGCCCTGCTGTCACAGCCGGGAGGATCGAGCCCAGCCACACACGAACAAGCCGGGCCAGGTGGAGGCTGGAACCAAACCCCATCACATCCACACGGTGCTGGGCTCCCTCAGCCCCTCTGCAATCCCAGAAGGAGTTTGTGAGATCCCTCGCAGCCAACGTGTGCCTTTGGAATTTCCCAGGCAGAGCCAGGGCACCCAGGATTGAAGGATCAAGTGCCTCTGGAGGGAGTTGCCCGCCGTCTCCAGCGTGGCTGCGATGGCCCTGGAGCCCATCCAGAGCCCACTGCCTTCGTTCCCTCCCTTGGCATGTAGCAGCCTTGCCCTGTGCCAGCAGGCTTCTGTCTCATGTCTGTGTGTCTGGGGGTAAGACAGGGGAGCAAATCACTGCTGGGAACCATGAGCACCCCTCTGCTCTGATGTCACCTCTCCAAGGTCTCGAGGACCATCCCTCCTGTCTCTGCTGTGGTTTTACCTCTCTTGGGTCTCCAGCAGCTTCCCTCTGGTCTCAGCTCTCAGTGTCACCCCTCTGGGGTCCCCAGGATCATCCCTCCTGTCTCTGCTCGGGTTTTACCTCTCTGGGGTCCCCAGAACCATCCCTCTGGTCTCTGCTCTCAGTGTCACCCCTCTGGGGTCCCCAGGACCATCCCTCTGGTCTCTGCTCTCAGTGTCACCCCTCTGGGGTCCCCAGGATCATCCCTCCTGTCTCTGCTCGGGTTTTACCTCTCTGGGGTCCCCAGAACCATCCCTCTGGTCTCTGCTCTCAGTGTCACCCCTCTGGGCTCCCCAGAACCTCGAGCATCCCTCCAGTCTCTGCTTTGACGTCACCTCTCCGAGGTCCCCAGAACCATGGGCATCTCTCTGGTCTTTCACCTGGTGCCACCTCTGCAGARTCCCCAGGAGCACAAGCACCCTGTGCCCTGGTGTCACCCCTCGGTGGCTCTGCTGTGGCAGTGCTYGGTGGCACTGCAGGTTTGCTGTCCGGGTGTCTCTGCGCGGTCACGTTTCTCTGTTGTTGCAGAAGTGGTGTTGTCCCAGTAAATCACAGCCTGCTCTGCTTCCCGGTGTGAGTCCTGTGTTTTGGGGTTGGTTCTTGGTGGGTTTCCCTGAGGCCACCCCACCTGGCTGGAGTGTTGTGTAAATATCCCCAAATATATATAAAAATCCCCAAAAATATCCCCAAAACCCCAGTGTAATTTGGTGTGTGAGTTTAGCTCTGGGTTTCAGAGGGGATAAGGAGCTCCCTTCAGGTTTCGGGGAGCTGTGGTTTGCAAACAGCACTTGGTAAGCTGATGGATCCAGGATTTTAAAAACCAGGGGAAATTTGGTTTAATTCTCCTCTGAGGTGGAGATGGAGCTGAGAAATCCTTCCACCGTCTGTCTCTCAACAATTTCACCTGTCACCTTGGTCAGTGGAAGGAAACAGAAATCCTGCCTTCATCCCATACCTTCCTTAATTAGCGTTGTAATTACAGGTATTARTAAAGCAGCCATTGTGTTTTCCAGTCCAAAGCAGGACGTGGGAGCTCTGCCATCCCTGATTTTCCCCTCAGCGAGCAAGAACCCACTCCGCCGTCCTCCTGCTTTTGGTGACCTCTCTGTATGTACATACATCGCAAAAAGGAGACACTTTTGGCCCAATTTCCTCCCTCTGGACTCCATCTCGGGGGTTGGAGCGGCTCTCCCAAGGAGGGGGATGGTTTCTCCAGCCTCAGCACCCCCATCACCCCAGGGGATTTTCACCCCATTAAGTCACCTCTGAAGGAAGGGCGCTCCGGTGCTGTTGCCGGGGTGACCGCAAGTGCCTTATTAAGAGAAATTAGTTTGAATACAGTTGTCAGCTGCAGCTTAATAAATAACCCCSTTTATGCTGGGTAAATAAATATTCGCACGCAGCGCCTGCACGGAGTGGAAGAGACTCCCCAGCCCGGGCAGCCGGGTGGCAAGGGGCGTTTCGGGGAGAGAACTGGCCAAATTGGGGTTATGGCAGAGCCCCACAGAGACCCCTCCGTGTCCTCCCCGTCCCSATACACCCGCGGTGGGGAGATTTTGCTGCCGAACTTCCCTCCTGCCGGGGCCGCGGCTCCTCCTCCGCAGGGGCTCATTAGCCGGGAATCGGAGGAGCCTTTTCGTGCTTTGAAGGGTTATGAAACCTGAGGGAGAGGGGGAGGACGGGAGAGCTTAAAAAAGAGCCGTCGTGTCCCCCCCCCCCCCCCCGCCCCACAACCCAGCCAAAGGAAGGAAAAGGGCTGGCAGCCGTTCCAGCACAGATTGCGCCTCTGCCCCCGTCCCCCGCCAACCCGCCGCCGACGGGCGATGCCGCGGGGTGGAGAACTTTRCTGGAAAACGACATTTTAAACAGATTTTGCCTTGTTTTGTGAGCTTGTGTCCCAGTGCTGTGAGGAGAGTGGGGGGCAGAGGCCACGCTGCGGCCGCGCTCCCCCGGCAGCACCCGCAGCGATCCAGGGGATGCTCCAGGTGCTTTTAGCTCCAAACAGATGCAAAATCCACCTGCGATGCTGGGGAGGGGGTCTGAGCCCACCAAACAAAGCCTCACCCCCAAAACCTGTACCAGGGAGCCGCGTGGGGCTGTCTTGTGTTAACTACAAAGCAGTTTTGCCTCGGGGATGATTTTCCCTTTGGTTTGGCCCATCCCAGGACCCCGGGCATGCCGGCGGGGGATGCAGCCGGTTGGTGCCGTGGGCTCCATCACTCCTGAAATAGAGCTCAGGGGCAGCTTTTGGGTGTCGGAGGCATCTGAGTGAAGTCATGTGGATGTTATGCAAGACTTGATGATAGGTTGTAAACAGCTATTAAAGTGATTGACAGGCCCAGGACGAAGTTTTGAGGGGGGGGGGGAAGAAAGGGGAAAGATGAGTAATAATGATTAAAATAATTATCAAATCGAGACGTTCTTTAAATTGGGGGAAAGTTTTGTGAGGAGGGAGGAAGGTGAAGAAATCACGTTTGAGCGCTTCCCTGAGCTGGGGGTTGGGAGGATGGGGCAGATATTGAGCGCATAAAGTTTGGAAAGGAGGGTTTTGCTTCCTCAAAAGCAGCTAAAAAGGAATTCCAGCAGAAATGTGGTGGATTTGGGCTCACTGAGTGTCTCTGGGTGCTGGCACCCCCAAAACCCAARGGCTGAGCAGCCCAAGGAGAGCAGCCCCGAGTTAATTAGAAGAAACAAGCAGATTATGGGGAAGACAGCTTCTATTTATATATAAATACTCCAGTAATCAGCAGTGAAGGGCAAGGGAAATCCAATAGAAATATGCGACTGTTTAAGAAGCTTTTTGAGCAAAACGTTACACAATCGGTTGCATTTGCCTGGATCTCGCTCCAAGTCCCAAGAAATTGAGGGAGAAAAAAAGGTGACCCTGAGCAGAAGGAAGGAGAAGGGATTTCTAAAGGCTTCTGCCCATCAGATAAGGGGGAAATGCAGATCCTAAGGGTGCCAGCAGCTCGCTTCGACCCCAAAGCYCCCAGCTTTGCAGCCAGAACCAGCGATCTCCACACCTCAAAATCCTGGGGGTTCACAGGGAAATGCAGTCACGYACAGGTGGATTTTGCTTGGAAAGAGACGCCTGGAGCTCCGCTGCRTTCCCGGGGCGGGCTGTCAGTGGGTGCTGACACGGAGCAGGAATAGCTGCCGGCCGCCCCGCCGTTTCGCACCCGCCCTCGCTGCCTCCCGCGGCTCTGCTTCACCCCAGCACAGCACAGACTTCGGGGGTCCCACTCRTGCCCTTTGCTGAGAATCACCTGAAGAATGGTTTTAGCGTTTGGGTGGTCACCTTGGGGCTGGGAGCTCTCTGAGTCCCTGGGGTTTGTGTCCTTTTGGGTTGTTTCCCCTGCCAGGGCAGCTGCGCTGAGATTTTTGTGATTTGTTTATCCTGAAGGCAATAAAAGCCTGAGGATGAGGTTTAGGGGGTGTCTCAGAGGAGGGATGGGTGCATTCCTGGGRTATCTGACCCCTCCAGTGAGCTGGTTATTCCAGTGTCCTGCTTTTGGGATGGCTGCTGTCCCCATACAATCCTTCCCCATATAAAGAAGGAGGATGGAGATTTKTCCCCTTGTCTGCAAGGAGCCAGCATCACTGCCCAAGGGTCACTGGTGCGTTTGCCTCAGCTCTGGGTGCACCTGTGCCTTTGCAGTGTGGGTTTTGGGGGTTGTGTTTAAATCAGGAGTATCACCCCCTCTTGTGCCACGACTTTTCCTGGTTTTTTTTTTCTTTTCTGTGCCACCTGTAAAGTCACCTTTGCATTGGGAAGTTTCTGCTGGGCTGCAATGCACGTGAGTCCTGCAGGTTCTTGTCCCCTCCTTGTGCAGCTTCTTGGGGGTCCCTTGTAATTGTTGAAATCATTTAATCTTCTCAAGACACAGATATGATATTGCTCACGTTTAAAAAGCCAAGCTAGAGGTCCGTGGGCTTCTCCGATCATTAAATTAGAGGATTTATTGGCTTTTTGCTGTGGTTTTCAATCCTTCCTATGCACAAGGCAGRAAAACAAGGGGTGTGAGTAGTGAGAACATGTGGGTTTGTGGGGTGGGAAAGATCTGGGGTCAAAACTTCACCCCCAAAGCAGGGGGCATCTGAAATGGAATGGAACCCCATAAAGAGTGCAAATCCCTTGGGAGAGGTGTCCTGGTYAGTGTTGTAGGTTCTTACAACCCTCTGTCACCACGTGCTTATTGACAGCTATGGAGATGAGCCAGATCCAGCACCACAGCGGGCAGGAACAGCTGTTTTAGGGCACGAAGAGAGCGAGCTGCCCTGAGCAAAAGCAGCCGGGGGTTGGCCAAAGGCACCCCTGGGTGCTGGTGTGGTGCTGGTTTAAAGGCAGTGCCTTTCCCCCGGGGTGAGAACTGGGACCTGTGTGTATCCCTGYGAGCAGGAGCTGCTGCTCCCCTGTCCAAACCCTGCAAGACTCTTCCCCGGCATCTGCTCGCTTAAAAGGCTTTTAAAAACCGTCTTCCCCTGGGGTAACCCAAATTCCAGGTCTGGGAGCGGCAGCAGGCGAGTGCAGGATGCCACAGGGTTGGTGCCAGGCTGCTCGCTGGCTTTGGGGCTCTGGCAGCCTTTCCACAGCTGTTACGGGCTGAATTCCTGCTGGTTTCGGTCTCTCCTACAAGGATGGCGCAGGGATGGGGTCAGTCCTGCYGCAGGGCTTTGTGTCACCTCCTTCAGGGGTGGCTGCACCACGCCCCGCTCCAGACCCCACGGGATTCCCGTGTGGGACACGGGCTCTGGCCGCCGATCCCAACCCAGGGCGTGCCTTCGGGGCCGCGGTTCCTGCTCACTTTTCCTTTTTCCTTGAGGCTGCTGCCGCTTATGCAAGMGCCGGGAGCCTTGTGTAACAGAGCCGCGGGGCTGGGGCGAGGCACCCGCCGGCATCCGCACGCCCGGAGCATCCCCGGCCGGGCTCTCCCTCCGGAGCATCCCCCGCTGTTCGCTTTCCCGGCCCTCAGGATTGTAGGATGGATGCTTTGGGCTCTCGTGCTTTGTTTGCTCCTGGGTGGAGCGGAGATCCCGGATCCCMGTTGGGAATTAAACCGGGAATGCGGATACACCTGGAATGGGCTGWCAGGGATCT